ACTTTTTAGAAAATATTCAATGGAGAAGTTTTGTTTTTTTCATTGCACTGATGAAAATTCCCCAGTGGGCACCGTGTATCTTTTGGTCACACACACACACACACACACACATATATATATATATATATATATATAATTTTTTTTTTTTTTTTTTTTTTCTGATCTTGTGGTTACTTTAAGTTACATAAAGCAGTTTCTACCAGCACACCAATCTCCTTATATACAGCTAATCCTCCTCCTCTATAACATGTAGGTCTACAGTCTTTGGAAAGTGAGTAGAACAAGCACTTCTTTTTCCACATCACCTCTCCATCATCTAGATGCTAGTTACCATTCCTGGTGGTTCCAAAATTTGAGAATAAGGAAGGAAGAGGAAAAATATAACAGAACATTTTACTCTACTTGCATTATTGAGAGCAGGCTTTGACCCTCCTTTTTGGACCTGGCTAATATTTATTGTTGCTGTAGTTGCTGCTAATGTAGTGGCGGGGGGGAGTAGAAGCCCCTTCATGCATTTTGGGATATCCTTAGAAGCTTTTGACTGCAATGCCTATGAAGCTAGTGATGCATTCAATTCCTAAGTCGGTTGTGCTGCTCTGAGATCTGATTTCCTTGCAGGAAGACACTAACCTTTCATCAAATATGCAATGAAGCCACTTCCTCCAGATTTGATCTGAGATTGTAGCATCTCCTGTCTCCACCTCTCTGTATAAGAATAGCCTTGCAAAAATCTCTTTCAAAAACAAGTTTAGTGTTTATCCCTCCTTTGTGTCATCCTTTGAAGTAGTTGAGGAGCTACAAACTTGTGAACATATTCTCAATTGAGATCTTATGCCAGATACTTTGTTTGGGTGTCTGAAATCAATTGTCCTGGATTGTCAGAAAAATTTCCAATTCTATATCCTGTAACTACACAAACATGATCATTGCAACTCTGGTAATAATCACTAAATACCAGAAAATAATATAAGCATGATTTAAAAAAAAAGGGCCCATCACTAAAATGTATTAAGTAAAAGAAAGGAGATCAGACATGCTTTCATTTGGATTTTGAAACAAGAGGTATATCTATGTATATGCTTTTAAATTTTTACATCAGCCCTGAATGTGTATGTGGATACACATTGAAGCCTGTGTCTACTGCTCTATTTTATAAAATGTGATTCTTAAGTCTTTCTTTGGCACAATGTCGCCAACATCTTACTTTGCAGTGCTGGCATAGAAAAACATTTGTGTCCCAATTCAAGTCCAAGTGAAAAAACACATCCTATATAACTGACCAACTTGTTTATAACACCAATCTTTGGAAAACTGAGAATAACACCAAAGACAGAATAGCGGAGTTGAAATTTTTCAGTAAATAGGTGAGCTGTAGCAAACACATTACTTTTTCAAGAGATGACAGAAAAATAAACAGAAATACAGGTATAACACGGAAACCGTATCGACACTAGAAGTTTGTAAACTACATGAAAATAAAATAGATTTAACCTTTACACTAAAAAAATGATCTGGCGCCTGCCTCGAAAGCGCAAGGTCCTGAGTTTGATCCCCGGTGCCAAAAAAAAAGGATAAAAAAATGACATTTTTTTTTTTCATTAAGTTTATTGGTACATTTTTAGGTATACAATATGATGACATTTATCATTGGGAATTTGTACCTTTACCTGATATATCTCGGTTCTTATTTTTTTCCCCATTATCCTGCCCTCCGTTCATCCCCTCCACCCCTCCCTATTTACAAAGACTTTGTTTCTGTTTTTTCCTTTTCTCATATTTATTCCTTTCCCTTCTTTCCTTCCCCCACCCCTTTTTATTCTTGATATTAAATAATAATATTTTATAACTTTTCAATTTTATTAAGGTTATCCAAAAAGAAAATAACTCACTTAGCAGAGACTGCACATTTTGGTGACAATGTCCTATTTTTTTAATTAGCAAAGGGTAAAATGTTTCCTTCCAATACCTTAGTCTGAAGATCTCAAATTCATGCTATGGTTATCAAAGAACACTTTTTTTTGAATAAATTTTTTGATATATGAATCAATATCTGACATTAACACAATTTATATTCTTTAGAATGTCAAAAAATGTAAAGGGAAACATGTCATGTTTTACTTGTCATATAATTTCATGATGTCACAACAGTTTAGTATTCTTTTTTAATTTTTGAGACAGGGTTTCACTATGAAATTAAGGCTGGTCTGGAACTACAACAGGTTAGTTTTGAGCAATGCAGCTCGATTATGAAATATGTCCTGTGACTTCAACAAGCAGGAAAAGAAATTGAAAGCAATTATAGAATTAAAGTTAAGTATTTAATTCCATACCAAAAAAGTAGAAATTGGGAAAAATAAACTAGGTGGAAACATAAAACAGCATATCATAGTAAATATTTGAAAAATGTATTTTCTAAGACAAAGCAAGAGTTAGAAGAAGCACAGTTCCTAAAGGGCTTCCTCGGTTCTATTTCTGTTTTAACAGTGGTGGTGTCTGATTTGGATATAACCTTGGCTCCCTAAAAATACCCCCTCCTTCCCTTTCCTAAACTATTATGAAAGAAATTTTCCTGCTATTTATTTGATTATTCTTATCCTGTTTTCTTTGGTGGCTCCTCCCATACCTGATTATTTAAACATTCCCCATGAATTTCTTTTTTCTTCTTACTTTTAGTGATCTCCTTGAGTTCATGATTCATGAGTTTTAAAAAAAAAAGTTAGTCATGAATCTAAACCCCAGTTTTTATGGGGAAAGCTCAGTGATTTTTATATCTAATCTAGAGCCCTCCTTGAGCTGTAGAACTATAACATTCACTTGTAAGATATGTGCACATGAATGCTGTCCACCACTGTGTTCATCTTTGTACACACCTTAAACATCTCCCTCCCATATCTCCACCAACATAACTCTGCTTTTATTCAGATTAGTACCTGGAAGCCCTCTTAAACTTCATCCTCTTCCACTGCCACAGTATCTATCTGTGCCCATGGCATCTGCCCTGTTTAATTATTTTTAATCTCTTTTCTAGAATCCCATTGGCTTTTCCATTGCATTGGTGTCCCATTTTCTTGTCCCTCCCTTCCTTAAGACATTCTATCTACTACCATGCAAGTCATATTCCTCAAATACAGATATAAACATAGTGCTCTGGTGCATGCCACTGCTGCTCAATAGAAACTGCTCTGGACAAGGCTCCCAGCGAAATTCAAAGGGCACCCAGCTTTCATTTTTATTGGGGCTCTCTGTGATATCAGGCACTGTCAACTTTTTCCTTCTTGAAAAGTTATCCTCCTCCTTTGTCTTCACTCATTCTGGATTCACTGGATTTTCTCCTATTTTTCTGGCCCTTCCTCTTCAGTCTCCATTATCCCCGCTTCTTCCTCTGATTACAGATATAATTATTATTATTATGTTTCAGGGCACCACCCTGAGCCCATACTTTTCTCATGCTGTGGTTCTTAATACTCCTGAAAGAGCATCCATGTTCATGACGGTAGTGACACCAAAAGATTTCTGACTCCCTGTCTATCTCTAACCCATTTGCACTCCTGACTCTAAAACCTGCCCAACTGCTTAAGCAACTTCTCTGTGTGGATGACCATAGGCATATCCAAGTCCACCAGCTTCAACTCACCATGCCTCTCCTTCCTCTGATTCTCCTGTTTTCCTTATCTAAAGGAACAAAGATACCACCACCCACCCAGTTAGATAAATCCTTATATCAGAAAGTGAAGTCAACTCCCTTCCTAACCCAATCCATTGTCCCCAATCCATTAGTTTCTACAAAGTTACTATCAGTAAAATCTTCTGCAGCTAGGCTAGGGATGTAGCTCAGTGGTGCCATCTCTGCCTGGCAAGCACAAGGTCCTGAGTTTGAATCCTCATACTGGGAAAAGAAAATCTTCTGCAGCATTCCATTACTAACTAGTACAAGCTCTTTTTCCCACCTACATTTCTGCAGTAAATCATAAGCGGTCCACTGTCTCTAATCTTTTCTATTTTAGAATGATCTTTCTAAAATGGAAGTTTTATCAATTCAATCTGCATTAAGAACTCTTTAAAAGCTTTCCTTCTGTTACATAATATGATAGGGAATTTTTGTATCATAACCCATAGTTCAAATTCTAGAAATTTTTCTTTAAAGGTAATCAGAAGAGTCCTACAAAATTTGGACAATGCCATGTACCACAGAACTAGCCACAATAGCAAATAATGGGAAAAAAATTATTGCCATCAATAGAAAATTGACCAAATTTTAATGTGACTTACAAAGGAGCAATCTAAAATTTTGCTATAGCACAAATAAAAATGTGTAACGTATGTTGAATATGTTCACATAACATTTCTGGTCAATTACTCATTATTCACATATTCATTCTGAATACGTGTTTTTGGCATAAAAATGCTAATAGGATTTATGACACAAACCTTAAAGGTACACAACTTGGTAAGCATGATCATGACTCTTATTTTCCTATGGTAAACAAACAGCTATTCCCCCCAACTTTTGCCTCTTTAACTTCCTCTCTCAAGTCTCTAAGGTTTAGTAAAGTTTGCTCACTGCAAAAACCATCTTTTTAGGAAAAATTAAGTTCTCTTCAGTACAAATATAGCACTTGTTTGACTCTTCCCATTATTTGAGTGTGCCCTTTCAATGTCATTTAAATATTAATCGGATTCTAAAAGCATTTTTGTTTTCAAGAACTCTAATACTTGAGTGTCTATTTTTCCAGTTTCTTCCTATCTATTCTTTCTTGTTCCATTTAGAAGATATTTACTAGTTACAAGAGCTACAATCTCATCTGGGCATGGTGATTTCTGTCTGTAATTTCAGTACTTAGTATGCTGAGGCAGGAGAATCACATGCTCAATAGGCTATCCTGGGCTACATAAAGTGTTTGAAGTCAGTCAGCGTGGGCTACCTAGTAAAACCTTGATTCAAACAAACAAACAAAAAAAACCACACACACAAAATCTATACTTACTATTAACATACTTACTATTGACAAAACAATTTTTATGAGCCAAATTTCTTCATCTCTGGGAGGTACGATATCATTATCTGCCCCTCAAAGTTAAAGAAATTAGACAATGTAATTAAAGTGCTTAGGACAGTAAGTACCACATAGCTTGGTGTTACCAGCTATTATGAACATCATTATTATCATTATTTTTATTAATACAATTAATAGAAAAGTCTATGCCTATTAAATGGAAAAACTAGTCAATCTCTAGCATCTTAGTTGAAAAACAGAAGCTGATTTAACATAAAAATTTTCACTATATTTTAGAGTTTGGAATGTTCCAAACAATATCTGGGCATCCCAGATGCCACAAGCACATGGCTTTCAATTATATCTGGAAAAATTACTTGATTACAGCATCTGAGATGAACAAATTTGTGGATAATAAGTCAAAATAGGAACTCTTGTTTTGGCTGAGCATATAATGCGGTATAAATATTTTTAAATAAATTTCTCAATATCTTATAAAGTTGAATATAAATATGCCTGTGGTTTAGCAAATCCGTTCCTAGAAATATTCACTAAAGTAATTCCTACATTGGTACACAAATATAACATTGTATAGTGCTACTTTTAACAAAACACTATACAGCTATGAAAATCAATGGATCATTCTAAAAGAATTACCATAAAATGATCTCAAAATTATAATATTGAGAAATAAGAGCAAATTGCAGATGCCTAATATACACTTTATATGAAAAATTTAAACATTCTAAACAATATTACATACTGTTTATTAATATATCCATAAGACAGCAGAAAGAACAAAAACATTTTTTTAAATGAAAGAATAAAAATATATTCTTTGTGTTATCTACACACAAGATAGTGATAGTCTCTGAGATCAGAAAGAGAAATAGGGGAGTCATGCAGAACACGCCGAATCAGCCCGCTGCACACAGGCAGGTCTGCGGACACCCTACCGAGGTCCCGAGTCACACAGAACACACCAAATCAGCCCACTGCAGACAGGCAGCCACCTGGTTCCACACTACAAAGACCCAGAGGACACTGGGCTAACAGACCACGGTACTGAGTCCCACTGCTACCGACCCAGAGGTAGGGGCTTCTGAGCCGCCATCCCACTGCTCCTGGTCCAGAGGAAGGGGCTTCCTGGCCACCAACCCTCCCACTGTTCCCAGCCCAGAGGAAAGGGCTCTTGGGCCACCTTCTGTCCCATCGCGCCTGGCCCAGAGGAAAGAGCTTCCAGGTGACCATCCCTCCCACTGCTCCCAGCCCAGAGGTAGGGGCTTCTGAGCTGCCATCCCACTGCTCCAAGAACATAGAAAGGGGCTTCCCAGC